CAGACCCCTACCTTAACAAAGAGTTTATAACTTAAGTAATTGGCTGGGATCATAAACAAGCAGCGCAAAAAGAGTCAGACTATATTATCTTACTTTGGTGACAAGATCAAAACATACAACCAGAAGAAGAAGACAAAGCCAAAGCTCCTACATCCAAAGCCTCCAAGAAAAATATGAATTGGTCCCAGGCCATGGAAGAGTTCAAAAAGGATTTTGAGAAGCAAGTAAGAGTAGAGAAAAAACTGAGAGTAATGCTAAAGGAGACTCAAAAAAATACTAAAGAAAATAACCCCTTAAAAAACAGCCTAACCCAAATGGCAAAAGAGGTCCAAAAAAGCCAAAGGAGAAGAAAGCCCTAAAAAGCAAAATTGGCCACATTTGAAAAGGAAGTCCAAAAACTTACTGAAGAAAATACTTCTTTAAAAAGTAGAATGAAGCATTTGGAAGCTAGCAACTATATGAGAAATCAAGGCACTGTAAAACTAATCCAAAAGAATGAAAAAAATAGAGGAGAATGTGAAATATCTCACTGGAAAAACAACTGACCTAGAAAACAGATCCAGGAGAGAGAACTTAAAAATTACTGGACTATCTGAAAGTCTTGGTCAAAAAAAGAGCCTAGACATCATCTTTCAAGAAATTATCAAGGAAAACTGCCCTGATATTTTAGAGCCAGTGGAGGGGAAATGGGGGAAGGTGAGAGGGAATGTATGAATCTTATTCTCATAGGATTTGGCTTAAGGAGGGAATAACATACACAATGGGGTATGGAAATCTATCTTACCCTACAGGAAAATAAGAGGAGAAGGGGACAAGAAAGCAGGGGGTTGATAGAGGGGAAGGCAGATTAGGGGAGGGGATAATCAGAAGCAAACACTTCTGAGGAGGGACAGGGTCAAAAGAATAGAATAAATGGGGGGTAGCTAGGATGAAGGGAAATATACTTAGTTTTTGACATGACTACTGTGGAAGTGTTTTGTATGGCTACACATCTATAATCTGTATCAAGATGCTTACCTTTTCAATGAGGGTGGGTAGGGAGGGAGGAAAGGAGAAAATTTGTAACCCAAAGTTTTAAAAACACATGTTAAAATTTAAAAAAAATACTAAAAAAACCCCCCCATCATTGAAAGAAAGAAGGGAGAAATGCCAGGAAGAAGGCACACTGAAACAGTGTCAGAAGTTACATCTAAAAGTTATTTATTACAACAATAGGTGTTTCAGTAAGTATTTTTGTACAGATGTATACTTTCCCTCTCTTTGTCCTCTTTAGAGGTATATGCATAATAGTGATATTGCAAGTCAGAGGATTTGTTTAGCTTAGTGACAATTCAGAGTGGTATCAACTGTGGATTAATGTGGATGTCCTCTCTAGCCTGTCCTAACAATAGCCATTTTCCTTTTTTTGTCATCTGTGCAAATCTGATGGGTGTGAAGTGTAGAACCACAGAAATTATTATAATGTATACTTCTATTACTGTTGATTTGGAGCACTTTTTCATAAGTTAGTTGATAGCTTGCTTTTAAAATAAATGGAAAGTGGCTGTTCTAAACCACTTAACCTATTGAAGAATGGTGCTTATTCTTAAATATATTTGTCATATATTCCTTATATATTTTGGATACATATATAATACTATGATATATAATTATTTATTTATAAATAAATATATTCCTTATATTTGTTGGATATCCAGATGTATATGAGAAATTTTCTCTGAAGATTTTCCCTTCTAATTTTTTTGCGTATACAACAGTTTTAATATTTTATGTAATAATTGCCTATTTTATCTTCTGTGATGATCACCTTTGTCACTTTTTAGCTAAGAATCCCCACCTCAAGACATAGTCACAAAGTATCTCCTTTCATTTAGAATTTATTATAATATAAAATGTTGGCTGAAACCTAATTTCTGCCAGATCACTGCAGTTTTCCTAGCAGTTTTTGTCAAATCTGGGAGTTTTTAACCCTAAAAGTTGATTTCCTTGGGTTTATTGAACACTGGGTCATGTTTATCTAATCTGTTCAATTGATTAACTTTTCTATTCTTAACAATACCAAAAAAATTTAATTACTGCTTTATAGTGTGCGTGTATTATTATATATAGTAAGAAATGGTTTCGCTAGGTCCATTTACTTCCTTCAACCCCTCCCCCCCATTATTTCCCTTGATGTGCTTGACTTTTTTGTTATTCTAGATAAATTTTGTTACTTATAAAGTCATCTCTTGTTAGCATTTTCTTCTGAACCTTTGATGTGGGTTTCTCAGTGATCTCTCCTTGTCCATGTCATTTCCTTCAGACCTATTCAGATTATTCCCCAATCCTGAGCTCCTTGCCTATAGCTTATACCTCTAAGTCAAATTGTATTACATTACATTGCCTCCGGAGTCAACTTTATTTCCCTGAAGTCGTCAGAAAATTAGTGTCCTGACTAGAAGTCCCTGGGCATTATGGGTGGTGACAATGAAGATTTTTGAGCAGTGTGTTAAGAGCAAGTTTATGTACAAAGAAAGGAAGCTTGCTGTGGCAGCATTATGAAGGATGGATTGATGGTAAGGGAGAAAGTAGAGGTGAGAAAACTCATTAAGAGGTGTATCTACAGATGGTTGGTAAAAGAGGGCCAATATGCAAAGGTTTTGTACAATTTAGTTACTTGTAGGTGATAAGATTAAAAAAAACTGTTAATAGCTTAGCTATAAGGCAGGGGAAAAAATAGAGTCTAAAAATTTTTGAACTTGGGAAACTAGGTGAAAGAACTGCTCATAGAAAAAATTCAGTCAGGAAGATTCATAGGGTTGTTTTGTTTGGGGGAAGAGAAGTTGGAGAATAGAATGTTTAATATATAATTTGACTTTTAGGCACTGGTTGAACATGGCAAGTCATTTAAACCTCTCTGTGCCCCCAGGATACTCTCTGAATTGTAGAAGAGTTGTTAGTCTGCTTTGGTAGAGTGAGTTACATCATTGGGAGTTTCCTGTACAGAGCCATATCATAGCAGACATATAAGGAATTCTGTTCCTTGCTCATGAATAGAAAGGTAAATGATCTGTATATACATAAGGAATACAAAGAAAGAGCTAGCGATGACCTAACTTGGTTTCAAGAAATTGGCTTCATTCAGTGAAAACAGTGCTTTTTCAGTTAGGAAGAGGAGTTTAATCTCAGTTCAGCAACTTAATTTGCCTCTTGCCTGGGCAACTGTAACAGCTTCTTACCTCCCTAACATGAGCCTGTCTAGTTTCCAAACTATCTTTCACATTCATATTATTCCCTCTAAGATCCCCTAATGTCTACAGACCAAAAAAATATATATGTGTCATTTTATTAAATCCTTTCATAATCTAGTCCTAGCTTAGCTCTGTAGCTTTATTTAATATGTTTCTCTTTCAAACACCATATTTCAGCCATATTGGACTACTAGCTTATTCTCCAAATGGACATATCCTTCTACTTCCAAACATTTACGCAGGCTGTCCCCCATACTTGGCATGTATTCCTCTAAATCTGTCTTTAAATGAGACATAAAGGAAGAAGATTCTTAGGTGCTGCCTCCTCAGTGAAACCTGATTCCCGATCTCTCCTTTGCCCTCATACCCTCATCAGATTCCCCTTGTATTAATTTATCTCACTTGTAATATATGCTTATCTGTGTATATCATATTCTCCTTTGCTCTTCCTCAATATGGAATTTAAGATTTTAAGCACAGGGACTATATTACTTTATTTTTGTATCCCCAATGCCTCGCACATTGTAATCCCTTACTAAATGTTTGGATTGAATGAAACAGTATTGTATATGTAACTGAATCATAGTGGGAAGGGGAGAGAAAGATGGTGGGTATAAGGAGACTGTGGTATATTAACAGCATTGAAGTGACATAAATAGTATTATCGAGGGTTAAAGGAGGTAGACTTTTCATGTATTTGAAAGATGACAGATAGCTGGAGTGTTGCATTATTACCTGTGGAATGTTAAGCACAGAAAATCACCATGTTTGTTACATCCTATAATGAGGTACAAAAATGCCCTTGTTGAGAGTGTAAGTCCATAGAATTGTTGTATATGGCCACGAGCAGCTATGAGCAATGGTTTTGATTTTTGCCAAGCATGTTTACATTAGGCCCCTTTCCCATCCAATGGCAAATAGTTTTAAGAAGGTAAAGAAATGAGACCCATAAAGAATATTCTTTTTTTATATGAAAAACATTAATTAAATTGAATCTTCCCAATCTCTAAATTAAAACACAACCTTGCCTGTAGCACTTGTTAATGTTTTACCCACATGACTATTAGTTTTTAAACTAGGATTGGTCTGATAGCACAAATTTGAAATAAAAGTTCAATCTAGGAGAAAACTAGAAAATGCCCATTTAAAAAGTTTTAAGCACAGCACATGAGGCCTTGTCAGTTATCTGGTGGTAAAAAAAAAAAGTGAAGAATTATCTTTATTCATAAATCTTTACACTTATTTGGGGAGAAGTTACTTGACAAAGATATTGGGCACATACTGAACAAATTTCCATTCAAACTCACCACTGTTATACATTCCCTCTAAAGGAACAAAGCAATAACAGCAGAAGTTTTGATACCTTTAAAGTGTTACCTTGGCTTTTTGGCTTTCTACTACTTAGAAAACTGCTGTTCAGTGCTATCATTGTAATAAATGTTTTAGTGTATAATAAGGAAAATAATATAATTTAGACTAGAAAACAAAAATTGTAAAGGTCTTCAGAGATGGTATCTTGATATTACACATTTCTGAAGTCATGTCTTCTAAAGATTGAGAAATTCTTAAGGTTTTATTTTTATTTTATTGATTATTTTGCCAGCAGATAACTGGAGCAGTGTTGATAAAGACCAGCTGTATATTGCTCTGAGTATTTCAGCTGCTTTCAGGGATCTGTTTTAATAGCATTAGAGAAATTAATGTATTTCCTTACTTCTATTTGGGTGGCTTTATTACTAATGTATAATTTTATTTTTCAAAATCATTAAGAGCTTCAGATTTCAGTGGGATTCCAGGAGCTATCTTTGGGGGAGAGAGGAGGCCGTCGAAGAGATTTCCATGACCTTGGGGTGAATACCAGACAGAATTTAGAACATGTTAAAGAGTCAAAAACAGGTATGTCAGCTTTAAGGAATGTCCTTTTAGAAGGCTGCATCAAGTCTGTTAAGGTACACACAAGTTCAGAAAGGATCTATTAAATAATAAATGTGACTATAAAATTGTAGTATCCCATTTTTCTCTCTTCCATTTGCAATTTGATATTATATGCATTGCAAAGCAGACAAGATGGTATGAAGGTTCTTGGTTTGCCATTTTTATATTTATTTATTTTTTTTCTCTTACCCTATTTGTCCTGGGGAAAAACAAACAAGAATTCTCACATCTTGTTTTGAAATAAACATGTCAAATCGCATCTCATGATTATGAGAGATTGTTAAAAATTCTTTGCTTTGCCATTGGTTGTTTCTAATACTATATGAAATTAGTGGGCCATTGGCTAGATCTTTCACTATAGTGAGATTATTTGGCAAGTATATGTGTTAATAATATTACACTTTTGAGTAGGCTTAATTGCTTAGGGAGTAAATTTCTGTATCTGCTTAATAAATAAATGGATAAATGGATGAGGTAGTTGTCTTTAAAGAGTTGGATATATCTGAGACTATACTCTTGGTTTTTTTGCCTATTTTAAATAAAATGATCTACTTAGATTTTTATTTGAAATGTGTTTCAGGCAAGAATGAGCACTTTAAAAATTTCATAATTGGATAACCTGTTGCTCTATTTTTCAGGTTCTTCAGGCATTGTAGTAAGATTAAGCACAAACCACTTTCGACTGACATCTCGTCCCCAGTGGGCTTTGTATCAGTATCATGTTGGCTATAACCCACAAATGGAAGCCAGAAGACTCCGTTCAGCTTTACTTTTTCAACATGAAGAACTAATAGGAAGGTGTCATGCTTTTGATGGAACAATATTATTTCTACCCAAAAGACTACAAAATAAGGTTGTGATATTTTTAATGCTTTTTGATATCAAAAACACTTTTTTTAAAGTTAGGGGAAATCACTAGTTGTGATGCTGGGTAATTCAGAATATTATATCAGTTTAAGAGAATACCGAAAGGATCCCATAATGGAAATTTGGAATTAAAGGCAAAGTCCTAACTTTTTTTAAAATCCATCTTGTGATATTGATATATAGGGAACTCTTAATTAAGGATCTCTTTCTACCAATGCAGATCAGCAACCTTTCTGCAACTTATAATCTTAAAGAGTTGCCCAGGAGGTCAAGTAAGTTCTCTAATTATAATTTTCAGATATTAAAATTGAATTGTAATACAAACTTACCATTATTTTGGATTTTTTAAAGGCATAAAATTTATAGTGCCAAAACGCCATTATTGATATTAGGGTTACACATTTGATGTCATTCTTTGTTAACACTATGTTGAAGTACTACGTAAATGGGAATATTTGGGAGTTTATAGATCATGTCCTTTTACATGAAAGCATGATTTAAAAAAAGGCAACTCCAAAAAAAGAAAATCTAAGAGAACAGTTCTTTAATATTATGCTGTGAGACTTTGTTTCCTTTTCAAAAATTAACTATTAATAGAAGTCTTTCTAATGCCTTGCCATCCTGTCTTCAGCCTGGGTTGTCCCAAAATCCATCCAGGATGTTTGGACTGCAGGAAAAGCTGCCATCATCAGGGGCATCCTACTTTCTTGCCACTTCTTTTGCTCTTACTGTTTGACTTCACAGGGCTTGGATAAATTGAGAGTCAAGAATTCAGTTCCTTTTGATGAAACAGAGGACCACCAGGCTTTGCCCATCTTCCCCGCCATTGCCTTTTAAGATACTCAATCTGCCTTCTAGGCCCCCAGCATTTCACCTTAACTACCTATGTAATCTAAGAACCTTGGGGCCTTGCCTCTGCCCCATCATTTTATCCTTTGGATTTGTGGGCCTTTGTATCATGTGCTATTCTCCTCCCCACCTCACCCCCTAAATTAGATTTTGGATTCCTGGATAGCTGGAACTGTCTTTTACTGTTTGCATTCCCAGTACTCAAGTATTAGTCTAAGCATATTCTAAACACAGTATTTGGTGCACATAGTGAGTGCTTAATAAAGGCTTTATTTACTCATGCTTTTTCACAGGTTACAGACGTGTTTAGTCAGATTCGGAATGGAGAAACTGTGAAGATAACAATCACTTTAACAAATGAACTTCCACCTACTTCGCCAACTTGTTTACAGTTTTATAACATTATTTTCAGAAGGTTTGTTAAAACTATATTTAGTGTCTTTTACTGAGAATGCTGAATGAATCTTCATGGGCAGCTAGGTGGTGCAGTAGATAGATTATATTTTTTCCACTAGGCGGTGGGGTTAAGTGACTTGTCCAGGGTCACACAGCTAGTAAGTGTCAAGTGTCTGAGGCCAGATTTGAACCTGGGTCCTCCTGACTCCAGGCCAGTGCTTTATCCATTGAGCCACCTAGCTGCCCCACATTTTATATTATTTAAAGATTTTTTTTCTATTCCTTACACTTACTGGTTTTAATTGTAATATTCTGTTACATTAATGTACCACATCTTATTTATTTGGCTATTCTCTCATTTGATGTTTAGGTGGATTCTAAGTTTTTCAGTTACAAATGACGCTGTTAGGAAAGACTTTAAATAGATGACTCTTTTTTGGTTTGTTTCTGATAACCCTGTCAGGGTGTATTCTCAATAAATAGACCTGAGTTAAAGGGTAGGATTATTTTTACCACATCCTGCTAGAGTGGTTTCCAAAAATGTTGTACAAGTTTGCAGTTATTCTAGGAATTAATAATGAATATACCTGTTTCTTCACAACCTTGTTAGCATTTAGTTTTGATATTTTAGATTACTTTGGCCAGTGTGGTGGATGTGACGTGGTATCACAGAGTTGTCTGAATTTGTCTCATTAATGAGGTTGATAGTTTTAAGATTAGTATGTAGCTCTTTGGGATCTTCAGTTGCCATGACCAAGAATCACAAAGGTTGGAGAGATTATAAGTTGATTGTAGGAAAAAGGAAAGCTCACACAGCAATTGATATCATAGATCCACCAGCATATATGTAGGATCAGTGTAGCAATACTGAGTAACCAAGGATGATAAAGTAAAACCAATGCCATTAAAACTTTTCTGATTTTTTTATTTCCAGGCTTTTGAAGATCATGAATTTGCAACAAATTGGACGTAATTATTATAATCCAAGTGATCCGATTAATATCCCAAATCATAGGTTAGTATATATCTTAGATATTTTGGGATTGGAAATGAAAATCTTATTTGATGGGTATTTTTCAAGTGTAGGAACTATTAGATAAAAAAGCTCATAGTAGAACCCTAGAATGTTAGAGCCAGAATAGAGTTAGACTACCTAATTACTAAATACGCCCTTTATTCAGATGAGGAAAAAGGCCCAAAGCACTGAAGTGTGAGCCCAAAGGTCTTTCAGTCTGTTTCTGCTATTAAAAGTTTAATGACATGTTCAGCTTCCTGGTATACATCAAGTATAAATTAGAAGTCTTCTTTTTTTAAATCTAGGTTGCTGGTACCACATTATAGGATTTTAAAATTTTTATTCTTTTTTGTTGAGGGTAAGGTGAGGAAGGAATCATAAGGCAGGAAGGGCAGCAAAGGGCCTTTTAGGTTGATTGAAAGTAGTTTAATACTACAAGTGCTAAATTTATAAACTCTGGCCAAATCTTGTAAATTTTTGGATGTCTCAAGACAATATGGATTTAACAGCCAAAATCATAAGATAAATTAGTCCACTAAACCTGAATATTTGCTGCTTTTTATTTTCACTGATTAGGTAAACTTTTAAAATGACATTACCAGTGCATTATACTACTTGACATTAATCTAGCCACAGTTCATTTTATAAACTCTTACATTGGTCAGAATCAAAGGATCTGCCAAAAGGCAACACATGAAGTGGAAGGATTTGGAGTTGAGAGATGTGGGCTGAGATGGAATCTCGTTACCCCATATACTCTACTTGTGACCTTGGGGCAAGACATTTAACTGTTTGTGCTTAAGTTGTTGCATATGCCAATTGAAGGGGTGGGATGAATTGACCCTACAGCCAAGAGGCTGTAGTGTCTTGGGCTATGTATCTGTGATTTCAGAATTAAAAGAGGCCTCAGATTTCTAATCCATCCGACTGCCACCTGAACAGTTTACCCTCCTACATACACTATCTCCATCAACTGGCCCTTAGCTTTTAATTGAAGACTTTTAGTGAAGGGAAATTCACCACATCTGGAGGTAGACCATTTCCCCTTTGGTCACCTCTAATTTTGCTAGGAAGTTTTTCCTTATATTAATCCTGAATGTGTGTTTTTTTTCTTCCTAGTTCTGGTTTATTGGACCAAGCAGAAAAAAATTTAACTCTCATCCCTTTTTGACAGATTTTCAGATATGTGAAGAAAATTACCATGTCTCTATTGAATCCTTTCTTTCCCAAGCTAAACATTCTTAAACCAGTATGATTATAGCATGATCTTGAGAATCTTCATATTTTTCACACTCTTCTATATGTTCTCCAGCTTAGTGAAATCTTTCCTAAAAAATAGTGACCAGAACATAATACTTGATAATGTGTTTTGACTGGGCCAGGGTAGAATGAGATGATCACCAGGACACTTAGTGAGGGGCAGACTTAAGATTTCACTAGCTCTTTTGGCTACTATAACACAATTTCTAGTCATTTTGAATTTGCAGGTCAGTAAATACTACCCTTCCTTCCAGTCTTTCAGATGAACTGTTAAACAGTTCATCTACTATATATCCCTCTGTGGAAATGATTTTGAAATAAGTTTGACATTCTCCCTCCCGCCCCCAAAAAACCTAATGATGGTTTAAAGGGACTAATCAGAGTACTGAATGAAACTTAAAAGCTTTCACGGATGTAAAGCATAGAAAAGAAGTGAAAGAAATCTGGATTATGGGTCATGTGTAAATTTAAGATAGAGTATTATGCATTTACAATAAAGCCTCTAAAAATTTTTTACACTCTTTTACAGGTTGGTAATTTGGCCAGGATTCACTACCTCTATTCTTCAGTATGAGAATAATATTATGCTGTGCACTGATGTAAGCCATAAGGTTCTTCGAAGTGAAACTGTTTTAGATTTTATGCTCAGCCTGTATCAACAGTTTGGTGAACACCGATTTCAAGAACAAGTCTCTAAAGAATTAATAGGATTAATCGTTCTTACCAAGTGAGAAAGCTCCGTTTGCTTTTACTTTATAATTTTCTAAAGTCTTTCCATAAATTCTTCACAGTAAGGGTGCGTTACTCTTAATACATGTTCTCTTCATAAGTACTGACTACACCTGTGGCTGACAGGACAGTTAAATTCTTAAGAGAAGGAGTACAGAAGTAAGGGAGAAATAGTTGTCCCCTTTGGCCCATTTCAGAATTACGTAGCTTTGTTTAAAGGACTGCCTTGCTGTACGTCTTACATATACTTTGAAGTGCAAAAGCAACATCATCAGAACATCTTTAATGGCCTGTTTTTCTAGAGTGTTAGTTCACAGTGGCCACCTCCCTCAATTATCCATAACAGCTTCTTCAGAATGTCTTTCTTTCTGGGTCTTTTAAATATTGCATTTAGAGCTAACTAAAAAAAAAATTTCTCTAGGAAAAAACCAACCTTTTAATTTAAAATTTCATCACCCTCAGAGCTTTTAAATCAGAAGAACCACTTAGCTACTATTCATTCAGTTGCCTAATCTTATTTATAGTAAAAGTTTGCAGTTGTCACTTCTGGATTATTGAAATTCCTGGAATTACTTCACAGGTACAACAATAAAACCTATAGAGTAGATGATATTGACTGGGAGCAGAATCCAAGAAGCACCTTTAAAAAAGCAGATGGCTCTGAAATCAGCTTTTTAGACTACTACAGAAAGGTATAAAAATAAGCTTTAAGAAACTTATGTGATTCCCTTTTTTTCTCATTTATGATCTCAAGGTAGGTTATAATGATATACACAGAATAAAAACATATGCATATATACACCTACACAGTAAGATGCATTAGTACCTTATTTATCTGGATGTCACCTTTCAGCAGTTTCAGCTATCTAGGAAGAAGAGGAAGGGCCTCCGAGCAGCCACAATCACTGTCATAAAGCTCATGTGCCTTGAGACTCTTCACTTGGTGCTCGTTTATTATGATTTTCTTAGCCACAAAGCTATCATGTTGAGTTTAGTTGTCTGGTTTCCCAGCCCATGGCTGATGAAAATGAGACTGCTAGAGACATATGCACACTTAAAGCAGCAAGAACTAACAGTTGGCACATTGGTCATTGAGGAGAAAACATAAAAAGGCAAAGCCCCAAAGCATGGCAATCTGGAGACAGACAATTCATGGAGTAGTCAATGCACTGGAGTAACTAACCCTTGAGAGTCATCCCTCTATTTTAGGATATTTTGCAATAATAATGACTTTTTGTCATCAGAAAAAAAGAATTAAGTATTCACCAGACTGTTTTGAAAAAGCAGGCTAGTGAGTAATAAAACTTAGAATGGGTTCCATCAGAAAGGGCTAAAATAAACGTTTTGTTACTTAGAAACATAAACTTCCGTTATCTGGAAAAACCTGGTTCCATGTAACTCCTTTTTCAGGGATGCCAGATAAATGAAGTTGTTTCTTTTTTTCATCTCATAGGTAATTTTCAACTCAAAGGTATTTTGGTGGTGATGACAAAGGGGACAGTGAGAGAGAGCTAGGGAAATCTCTCTTTTCTGGTTAATAGGCACTTAAAGTTTATTCAATTAAATGAATACTTGATAAGGTCCAATATACAAAGTTTTCCAGGGCTGTCTGAGTGAATATGGCAAGGGTGAGGGGTAATATTTTTGACATTTTAGAAACAAGTGTAAATAACAAAATGGATGTTGAAAAGTTTTAGGTTCAAGGCTAGAATTTATGCAGATATCAAGGTCATCTATGCAAGCATTCCAGAAAGATTTTCCTCTAGCCTGACTTAGAACAGATCTAACTTGATGTAAAAAGCCACTTGTAAGGGAAGAGTGGGGACACTAGGACAGCTGATTATACTGACTGATAACTGTTATTGATCAGCTATTTCAATCATGTCCAACTCTTTCTGACCCCATTTGGCATTTTCTTGGTAAAGATACTGGAGTGGTTTGCAATTTTCTTATTTAGTTCATTTTATAGATGAGAAAACTGAGGCAAACAGGGTTAAGTAACTTGCCCAAGGTCACCTAGCTAGTAAATGTCTGAGGCTGGACTTGAACTTAGGGAGATGAATCTTCCTGACCCCATGGGTTCTATATCCACTGTACCACCTAGCTGTCTGTGATAACTATAGGTAGGCTTAATTAACAAAGGGGCAATGGGGACTAGCATTAGAGGTTTATGTTTTGTTTTTTTAAGCCTTCTAGGCCTGAGATGATGACAAAGCCTTGATTTAAGGTGGTAATGGTAGAAATATAGAAGTGTTCCTCAGCTACTCCTTTCCTTCCTTAATAAAGCCTTGAAATTATAGCAGAGAGAAAGGTATGGGTGGTCTAGAAGGCATTTTGATCCATCAGTCACAACAATTGGACATTACTCGTTGTGAGAAGGTGGATGATTAGACCTTACTATATTATTATTAGACATTACTATATATTCTTCAGTGGCTGCGAATCTTGGGTGTAGGCAGTGCCCTGACATTGACAAACTGGAGGACAACCCAGATATGATAAGATGTGAAACTATACAATAAAGAAATCAGTTGAAAATAAGTAGTAAGTAATATTTAGGTTGAAGAGAGAACTACTTAGGGAAGATACCTGTAACCTTCAAGTATTTGGAGGACTCTTTGGAATAGGATCAGATTTGTTTTATTTGTCTCTTGGAAGGATTAACAAGTAGTTGGTGTATAGGCATATTTCATCTTTACATTAAGAAAACTATTTAAAATGAGCTGTCATAAGTGATAGTGAGTAGCTTGTTATTGGGGTCTAAAGGAGAGAGGCTAGATAACATCAGGAATGTTATAAATGGGATTCCTGCTCTATGATGAAACTATATGATTTTTGAGGTCTTTTCCAACTCTGATGTTCTGTAACTGTGACAGAAGAATCAGCATGGCATAACGCAGAGGTGTCTAAAACGTGACACACAACACTCCCAAGTGTAGCCCAAACCATATTAAAATAAATTTAACAAAATTAATATAAAATAAAACAAAATATAGATATTACATTTCAAAACTAAGTCAACATGCAGCCCACAGGGAGCCTTATGTACAGTTTAATTACCCCCATTTCTGTTTGAGTTTGACAGCACAGGTGTATTGGATAGAGAGCGGGCCTTGGAGCAAGTAAGACCTTAATTTCGAGCTTTGTCTGTGATACACTGTTAGTGTGACTGGGCTCACTTAACGTCTCAGTGCTCTGGACAACTTTCTGAGCTTCAATGTTGTAGCAAAGGTGCAGTCTGCATTGGTAAAAGGGGTTTGCTCATCCAGGAATTTTCCTTAACAATGAAATCATAGGAAGGAAGGAAGAAGTGGCACTTGGGTAGAATGGGTTGGATATAAGGAATTAAGACCCATAAGTAAGAAACTTTTTAATCTCTCTCAAGATTAGTGAGACTGAATAAGCAAAACTAAGAAGAAAGGAACACTTAGTCAAGTTAGCTATTGGGGATAACTGGTTAAATGTGTTGTAGACAGTGTTGTATGAATCTGAACTGGAGTGGTGGGAAGTCCAGTGAATTGACATATGACAACATATGAGTAGTGATAAAACTAAGGGAGACAAGATGGTTCCCTGAGAGATTCCTCAGTGGCTTGATACAACCACACAGAATAAATCACCAAAATTGCTAAAGGCATAGGAATTGGGTGAGAAAGAAGTATTTACAGAAATTGGAGAAAGTGAACAGGCATAATTTACTGTCAAAAGCTTTGAAAACTACCCGAATTTGGCCTTGAAGATATCCTTAGAATTTAGGAATTACAGTTGAGAGAATCCAAGAGGAAGTTTGTCATATAAGAATATACAGAGATACATCAGTATCTACCATTAAAAATGTTTTTTTACTTACAATAGGCCATTTAAAAAATAGTCTGCAATTTATATATTTGCTTTTTTATGATGCACATGGAATATCATCTCATTGTTTGTTTTAATGTACAATATGACTCTCTATTACAAGTATTAGAAGGACTTAGTATTAAAATGCCTATAACCTGGTTTCACAGTATAGGCTCCCTTAAAAAGAGCATTAGAGTTAAGTTCCTTTTAAAGAAGCTAAGACTCTAATTGGAATAGACTTGGACAAGGAGGATAGTGAAGACGAAAACTTCAGAGTATAAGTTTGACATGTGACTTGTGAAACAAAGACATGGTATCTCTTAAAGATTTAGAGCTGGAAGGCTTTAGTGACTGTCCAGCTCCCTTATTTTAGAAGTAAAATGATGCCCAAGGAGGTTAAGTGACCCACTTCACTGGGATTCAAACGTAGATCTCCTGACTACTAACTCCATAACACCACAAAAACTTTTCTTTACATAACTAGTATTTGCAGTTAGTTGTCTCAGTATTCAGTGAGGCTATTGGTAAGAGCATTCTAGTATGTCTTTTGGCCATGAAAATACATAGGGAAAAAAGTGACATTATTTCCAAGGTATACAAACTAAGATAGCTATTAGCATGCATTCTTGTTTTCAAAAGTATACTAAAGTTTGCTTGTTATTGTGACTATTACTAAGGATATTTGTTAATGGTCTTTAAAAAGTCTTTCTTGCTTCTATTAAATAGCAATATAACACAGAAATCACGGACTTAAAACAGCCAGTTTTGGTCAGCCAGCCTAAGAGGAGGAGGGGCCCTGGTGGTATATTACCAGGACCTGCTTTGCTCATGCCTGAACTCTGCTTCCTCACAGGTATTAAATTTTATTTGCTCTGGAGAGAGATGACTAGCTTACTTTGTACTTAACTTTAGTTTTTCTAGAGTTAATTAACTCCTTAAAATTTTCTGGCCTCTGTATTTGAAAGACATGAATTAACCTTATTTGTGCTTCCTGCTTCTCAGCTCCTTCAGTTTCTTCTGTGTCTACTGTTACTACTCTATTCCCCTTCTTCGCCCATTTTCCTAATTTTCTAAGTAAAGAAATACTTTTGTTTAAACATATCTGCACATATTTTCATTTAAAGGTCTAACTGATAAAATGCGCAATGATTTTAATGTGATGAAAGATTTAGCTGTTCATACAAGACTGACACCAGAACAAAGGCAACGTGAAGTTGGAAGACTCATTGACTATATTCACAAGTAGGTGTCCTGAAAAAAAATATAATGGGCTAAATGACTTATTAAATAAAATTTTTATATTCATCAGTGATTACAATATATGATAATTTGTCAGAATTTCACTTAAATAATCTCAATATATTTAGTGAGTGAAGTATCACATAGAATTTCAGAGTTAGAAAGGACCTCAGTACAACACATAATCGAAAACATGCCCAACAAGACAAGTAGCTTTTGCAGTAGCTAATCCTTTTATGAAAACTAAATCTGCCTCTTTGCAGCTCCCATTCATTTCTTCTAGTTCTTCCCTTGGGGTCAAGTACATATGTTTGTTATATGTATGAAAAATCATGTGTTCGAATCTCTTCTAGACTAAAATCCTCAGGTCTTTTAGCCAGTGCTGTACATGGCATAGACTCGAGGCCTTTCATCACTTTTGGTTGTCCTCCTGTGGTTCTTCCCCTTCTTATCAATGTCTTTCCTAATTTGGTGTATAGAATTGAACACAATAGTTCAGATGTGGTCTGCCCAGGATAGAGCACAGTAGGGTAGAAAAGCAGAATTTATTTAGACAAATCTAGTAATTAAGCAGCTTTGCATGGATGATTCAGTAGAAGTAAGCAACCTGAGGGATCAAAAACATGAGAGGAAGCAAAATGAAACAAGATGATAGCAAATACATAAGGTATTTTGTGGTTACTTCTGTGAAAATAAAAAATATCCTGAAGAAAAAAAAAATCTAAAAATGCTGACCCTAATAATTTCCTTGGGGCTATAGCTTATTGTTTTGATTTGTTTTTGTGTCCTAATATTCTAAATTAACAGAGATGACAATGTTCAGAAGGAGCTTCGTGACTGGGGTTTGAGCTTTGACTCCAACTTACTGTCATTCTCAGGAAGAATACTGCAAGCAGAAAAGATTCACCAAGGAGGAAAAACAGTTAAGATTTCCTAAGCTGCTTTCTATAAAGTCAATTTGGTTAAAAGTAAAATAGTTGAATTCAGTCATATACTTTACAAAGTTAGAAGACTATTCTTCTTTAAGAATATGAGAGGGTGGAGGATGGGACATGGTAGAAAAGGGATTATTAGAACTTAGATTGTAGAGTAGATCTTTTCAAACATTGTGTCAGGAACACAGCTAGCACTGCTACCCTGTATACCTTGGATTTTTTGCACACTTTGGCCAAAGAAATTGTTGCCCTGCCTTCCAAGTAAGGGTACAGGACAGAATGTACTTTAGGCACAAGGCTGATTTTTAAAATGGGGAGGGTGGTGGTAAAGATTTGGAGGGATTGCCACTTACATCAGGATACTAAGAAGAAAGTTCTAAATACTTGATATGACATACAGCATTTTATGAGATTAGTTTAGCTTCTGTAAAATATAGTGATAAGTGGTTTTTTAACCAAACAGTTCTTAGCTGCTTATGATATATGTATAGTGCTTTGCTGCAATTATTTTTATAATAGTATATCAAAAAGGTCGATTTACAGAATCGCAACTAAACTTGGTTTGGGGAATTCTCAGGATATCTTTTCTCAAGGATCACATAGGGTTTTTTTAAAGTGCTAATTTATATTGCAAAACACAGGTTATATATCCTACTTTTAAAAGGAAAACGGTAGGTTAGAAAAGCAAAAATTTTTGTAACAGTTCTAGCTATTTTCTACATAATAAAGTCATAATAAAAATAATGATGTCTGAATTAAAGAAGGTAGTGTCTAAGAACAGTACTACCTTAGAACTGAAAATTTTAAATCAATTTTATTAATTTTGTTGCATATTAAATCAGTTTTAGACACACTTAGGAATAAAATGTTCTTTTGTAAACCATGATAACCATAGCTTTTATGAGAGTAGGACTTAAATACAGTTTAGCTGGTGACAGCTTGCTTTTATAATTTGTTTTCAAATTTTCTCTTCTAGTTTGACTACAATCCACAATTTGCAGATTGGTCAAAAGAAACAAGAGGTGCTCCATTAATTAGTGTCAAACCACTAGATAATTGGTTATTGATTTATACCCGAAGAAATTATGAGGCTGCCAATTCACTAATACAAAACCTATTTAAAGTTACACCTGCCATGGGCATACAAATGAAAAAAGCAATAATGTAAGTACAATTTTAAATAAATTCCAACTTTCTCAGATTTTGGATGTTGACTATTAGTACACTACACTAAATTTAAACCTGAAGAAATAATGGAAAACCCGTTTCAGATATGTTTGAAAAGTGAGAAATACTGTACTGATGTTTTGGAATTTAGCTTCCTAAAGGCCTAGAGAAAACATTTTGAGTATCATAATATTGAAAGGTTAATAACTTATTACAAAATATGAAGCTCATGTTCCCTTTTCCCTTAAAACAAATGATTATCAAATATAAGCAGCACATGTTCAACAGATCTATTGATATTTTGGTGACAGTACTTATAAGTAAGCATTAAAATAATTTATTCAAAGATTATATAAATTTTATAGAGATTATGTAAATACATATTATGATTATTATTTCCATGATATTATTTAATCTTCTAATGATAAATATGAAAAAATGACTGTGTGGCGAGTATGAAACTGATAACATCTGGGTCACTGAATGAAGACAACTATGTTAATTTTTGTGAGCCTCCTCAACAGCTTATTTTCTTAACTGTGTTGATGACATAAACTTGAATCATTTTGATCTTTTGCATACACTATAAGAAGAGCTTGAATAAAAATGAGTTCTCTACAATTCTTCCACTTAAACTTAAAAGGAAAAATTAGCATCACCATGAAGCCCCTCTTTCTAAGTGGCCTTTGCTTCATCTTTGCCAAGGAAAAGAAAGTTAAGTTAAAGAAGAGCTATTTGCTTGTCATCGCCTGGGACAAAAAGAAGAAAGAATCAGTGAATCAGTCTTTCCCTTCTGTTAATACCTTTATGGTCTTATGGGCCCACACCACTGCCACCTCTAGCCCAATGGAAAGCTATGGGATGGGCACCCGTTTGAAAGAAAAACTCCTTCAGTCCTAAGTATAAAGTCCTTTTGCTGACAGATGGTTACCCTCGACTTCCGAGTCATACTGTGTCTGAAGTCAAGCTGACTGAAAGGAAAAACATTGGATCCGGATACTTGTTAACTCTGCATAATTCTGGCCGAGCTTAGTTCCTGCACAAAAAAAAAAGAGATGAAGCATTTTGACAGTTGTTGGAAGTTAGTAATGAATGTGGACAGGCTGGTACTCAGAAATTCCTTATTTAGAATATGAGGAATGTGATGCTTTGAGTACAGTTGTAGCATTTAAAGTGTGTTTGTTATTGTTATTAAATATTAATTTTTCATTACTGGAAAATTGCTCCCATCTCCTTTATTTCTAAGGCATTTTTTTTAAAAAACAAACTTCCCATATTTTAGCAGCATTTATTTTGGGCACAGATAGATGGCACGATGGAGAGAGCACCCAGCCTGGCCTCAGGAAGACCTGAGTTCAAGCCAGCCTAAGATACCTGTCAGTTAACCTCTGTTTGCCTCAGTTTCCTCAACTTTAAAATGGGGTAATAACAGTACTTAACTTCCCAGTTGTTGTGAGGATCAGATGAGATATAATCATGAAGTGCTTAGCACAGTGCCTGGCATATAGTAAGTGCTGCATAAATCTTAGCTATTATTATTATTGTTGAAGTTTGGGTTTGTGTCCTTAATGTATTTTTTTTTAATTTTTCTTTTCAACTTTGGGTTTCATGGATCATTTCTCAGTATGTAAAATCTTAAGTTAATGTGATTTGTATGAATTCCGTCTGCCCTACAATTACATGAATCTTTAATTTTTGCTGCTTTCTGAATGTAAACTAATGATTTTCCTAGGATTGAAGTGGATGATAGAACTGAAGCCTATCTTCGAGTCTTACAGCAAAAGGTTACATCAGATACACAGATTGTAAGTAGCTAATTTATGCCTGTACAATTTAAAAGTTTAAGATCGAGCTCTTTAGAACTTGGAATGTATTCCCCCCCCCCCGAAAAGTGCTTTGTAATTGGGGATGTAAGGTTCCCAGGCTAGCTTGGAAAAGCCTATTTAATTTGGTACTATCCTATGTTCTTGAAGGGCTAAAACCAAAGCACTCCATACACTATGCTAATATTTATCTGGAATGCCTTTGCTCATGCTAGTCCCTTTTCTCTGTCTCATACTTCACCCTCACTCCATTATTTTTAATTTTCCCATTCAGAGTTTAATACAAACCTTAACTCCTTCATAAACATGTCATCAAACTTCTTTTAACTCTATATATCAATATATTTAGCTCTTCACCTATTCTCAGTTCAACTGTATTTACAATACGTACCCCCTCCACTTAGTACTCATTTATCAGTTTGTTTCCTATATATTAGTCTTGTTTCTCAACTAGATTATTACCTCCCCACCTTCCAAGGATTAGTCCAGTATATAGTGGTCTAGAGTAAGAATCAAGAGGAAGGACTTTAGAGAGGGTCCCCATGATAAGCTCCTTTGATCGCATGATCTTTTGGCATCCCTAGTGCCTTGAAAGTATAAAGCACCTAAATTACTTCAAGAGTGTATTAAATCTAGTACATTGTTCAATTGTGGAGGTTACTTCCAGATCTAAATCTATGACTTTATAGTTTTTTTTTTTCTGCTAGTTTTGTAATACATATGATAGTGACTTGTTGATTTACTTTTATTACTTTAACTTACTGATTCCTGAGGAAATTATATAAGCACTGTATCGATGCCTGCCCTTTCTAAAGTGCTATTTGACCAGTGGGCAAGTGTAGTATGTTGGGAGGATGCAAACAGCCTTTAGATAAAAATGAATTTTGGGCTGGGGCATAAAGGAATAGGGATTATGTTCTTTCTAGGCCCTTTATTCCTATAATTAAATGTCACCCTCAGGCTACTGTTGCTGTATTTAGCCAAATTGTGAAGGGACACAAAAGGAGTAGTGTTGGAAACATTTTCACCAATCTGCCAAAGGAAACTAAACAAATACTTACTAGTAGCGGTTATGAGCTAAGTAGTAGGAGAGAAAAAAGGTTGAGAAATAGGTCCCTATTTGTAGAACGCTCACAACTGAGTGGTGCAGGGATATGACAGAAATAACTACGATACGAAATTATACATAAGCGTGAGAAGAGGAATAAAGAACTTCGTAAGTGAAGGATCATTACTGGGGCAAGGAATGTAGATGGCTCTATGGAGAGACTACGTATGACCTGTCTTAGCAGGTAGTATGTTAAAATGAGGTAGAAGAAAAGTGTATTTATTGCCAACTGTGAGGAACAGTGTGATTTAAAAGGAGGCAGGACCAGCTAGAGATCCAGTTATCTAGCTAGAGTATAGGGTATGTGGGGGGAAAATCAGATTTATCTTACTCTAGATTGTCTTTATTGTGTTAAATAAATAGCACTTACACTTCCTGTATAATTGCTTGAGAATTGTTTTTCTCCTCCAACTGAATTTCATTTGAACGTTTCATTTGAATTTATATCCTGCATATGGCCTCCTCTTCCCTCGCCATCCACCCCCCACCTTAATAAGTTTTTATTGGGGCAGCTAGGTGGCACGGTGGGTCTGGAGGCAGGAAAACTCATCTTCCTGAATTCAAATCTCAGACACTTACTAGCTGTGTGACCCCAGGCAAGTCACTTGACCCAGTGTGCCTCAGTTTCCTCATGTGTAAAATTATCTGGAGAAGGAAATGGCAAACCACTCTGTTATTTTTGACAAGAAACCCCAAATGGGGTCACAGAGAGTCAGACATGTCTGCAAAATGACTGAACAACAACGAAGTTTCATCATTTTAAAATATCACCATAATTTCCTAAAGTATTCCTCCCTCCCAGAAAAGCCATTCCACATAGACAGTATCTTAAAGACAAATGAGAAAAATGAAAAGAAGTTGGATAACCTATCAGAATATCAAATGTCTTAAAAATATGTGCAGTGTGAACCTTTCACTACTGTAAATGCATGGGGGAGTAGGGAGTGGGACGGGTGGGGTGGTGGTATTTTCTCTCTCAGGCCATTTTGTGGTAGTCAAGAAATAGTTACCTCATCTATTTCAATAATTTGTCTAGTGAAGTTAAGCTGAAATTCTTATACTTTTGGTTGTTTTTCTTTGTTTTTCCCCCTAAGGTAGTTTGTCTGTTGTCTAGTAATAGGAAAGACAAGTATGATGCAATAAAAAAATACTTATGTACAGACTGTCCTACTCCAAGTCAATGTGTGATAGCAAGAACCTTAGGCAAGCAACAAACTGTAATGGCCATTGCTACAAAGATCGCCCTTCAGATGAACTGCAAGATGGGAGGAGAGCTTTGGAGGGTTGATATGCCTGTAAGTTTGATTTTACTGTGCTCTTGTTTTTGACGCGTTTAGTTTGTCTGGGTCTAACAATAGTTACATAGAGATCTAAGATTTTATGATGGTTTTAAGCCACTTAAGTTAGGTGATTAGAATGGCAGTTAATTTAGAGCAGAAATCCAAATAAAGTAAGTGAAAAAATAAAGGACTCAGGTAAAACTTCTCTATTGCATCTCATAATTTAAGAGTGGTCAATTTTAATTATTCACTTAAACATAGAAATGGCTAAATATGAAAGGAAAAAAACTAAATTAGTACTTAAAATCAACTAGTAATACTTGTATTCATTTTAAGAAAATGTATCTCCTTGATTTTGTTAAAAATATTTTTGTTGATATATTTTGGGTTTTATATCACATTTCTCAACATAGATAGTCCTCTACCCCCATATCTCTTTAGGGCCAAGACTGGTCATTATTAATTTTTTATCATTTGGTTTTACATCTCCTTGATTTAAATTGTTATAGTTGTAATTTACGTGACTAAATTTGCTTTTTTCCCCCCTTAAGCTAAAGTTAGCAATGATTATTGGTATTGATTGTTACCATGACACTACAGCTGGGCGACGATCAAACGCAGGATTTGTTGCTAGTATCAATGAAGGAATGACACGGTAAGGAAGATTTGCTGTAGAAAAGCTTGAGTGCATTTTACAGGTGTGACACAAATGCAGAGACCAAACAACTCAAGGAAGAAGGGAGGATGAGTTGGTGGGTAGTATTCTTTTCTGTGGCCAATGTCTCTCTAATCCTTTGGCTACTTAGTTTTCCTGGGACACTCTCAGTGGAAGCCAAGGCCTAGTGAACTCTCCCACATTGAAATCATCTCTAAAGGAACTGGAGAGATAGCTATTGGACTTCAGAAGTTGAGGAGAAGCAAGAAGTGTCACTGGTTTATAGAAGGATACAAAAGACTTGGTGGCTAGGGTCTAGGTAGAAGAGCTAGGAGTGGTATAAAGAGAGCCATTTTTCTTTTGGAAAGGGCAAAAACTAATAACTCTTCTATTTGTCTGATGGCCAAAACTTATTTTTTTAAAAATACATTTATTCATATTTTTTGTTTTTATATTACCTCTTTCTCACTGTACCTTTCACCTTTCCCTCATTCTACAGAGCTATCTCTTATAATAAAGAATAATAAAAGAAAAAAATAGTTCCACAGGCAAAAAAACCCCCCAAAACAACCTATCAGAGAACTCTTAAATGCAGTAGGAGCAGAGTAAGGTGTCTCATATTTCTTCTTTGAGGTCAAGCTTAATTTATAATTCCACAGCATTTAGTTTGTTTTGTTGTTCCTTATATTTAGACTGTTGTAGTCACTGGGTATATTGTTTTCCTAATTCTGCTCGATTCACTTAGTGTCAGTTCTCCTGTCTTTTTGTGTTTCTCTGTATTCACCATTTCTTACAGCACAGTAATATTCCATTATATTTATGTATCCTAGTTTGTTTAGCCCTTCCCCTACTGATGGTATTTACTTTCTTTCTAACTCTGGAATCTCTGGGTCAAAGTATTTTAATTTTAGTCACTTTTTTTGCATAATTGCAGATTACTTTCCAGAATGGTTATACCATTTCAGTTATACCTAAAATACATTAATGTGCCTGTCTTTTCAAAACTACTGCAACATTGACTATCTCCTGTTGTTTTGCTTTGCCTTTCTTTGAACAGTTGGCAGTACTACTTTTGAGAATTGTGTGTTCATATCCTTGGCCAAAGTGTTTTGTAAGATTTAATAATAGAACTTAGACTATTCCTGAGGTTGTGTGTGTGTGTGTGTGTGTGTGTGTGAGAGAGAGAGAGAGAGAGAGAGAGAGAGAGAGAGAGAGAGAGAGAGAGAGAGAGAGAGAGAGATTATTGCTGTATAAGGCTACATAGCCATTTCAAATAACTGATAACTAACTGACTACCTTTAACTTATTTGGTAAAGCCTTCCCTTTGATTAAAAAAAGTTTGCTTCCTTACCACTGAATAACACATGTCATATAGAGATGATGTGTAAAGAAAGCTATGTTTGGAATTACAGTATTTTTGTTCAAATTTTGGCTTCTGACATTGTGGGACCTTGGACCAATCAACCTGAGTCCCATGTTCTTAATCTGGAAACTGAGGGTATTGAAATAATTAAAAAAAAAAAGATGAGCATTATAGTTCTAAAACTATCTTTCTTCAACTTAAAAGACAGTTTGTATTCCAAAATTTGTTTATAAATCTTGCTTGAAACTCTCGTGCCAATTTTTCTGTAAAATAAACTTCATTGTCCAACTTTTTTAAGCGCTTAATATTTTTAATATGTTGTAAACTCCATTAGGTAAGGGACTGTGCCTTAATCTCTTTAGTTCTCCTAGCACAAAGCTACACATAGATACTTAATAAATGTTTAGTAAGGAAGTTCTTTCTGCCTCAAAGTGAGCTGAATTAGGTGTGATTATGTATTTATAATTAAGTACATGATGCGAGGTAATAGGAAATGCTCTGTCAGGGTAGAAATACGGAACAATTGGGGAGATATCCATATTTGAGTCTTAAGAAAATTTTCACAGGTAGCAATGAAGCAAAAAGCATATCTAGTTTAAGGAACAGCATAAACAAAGGCTTGTCCATTAGACAGTGTGGGATTTTCATGGGTGGGTGAGGGGATAAATAATGTTCTAAATGAGCTGGAATACAGCACACTTTGGGGAAATGTATGTTAAGAGCTGGAAAAGTAGGGATTATGGAATGACTTGAATGCTAAGGAATTGGAACTTTATTGTATAGGGAATTAGATTGAAGGATTTTGAGTAGAAAAATGACATGATTTAGAGCAGTGTGTTCAGAAGATTAATTTAATCAGCAGTACGATGGATGGATTATTGGGGGTGTGAAGAAGCCATATAGTAATGGGAAGCTTAATAGGATGGTGGCTGGGGGAATATAAAAGGAATGATTCTGAGAGAGATTGGGATTCATGAGTTGCAAAATGTTCATTAGGTCCCCAGGACAGCCCCAAACTACCAATTCAACTACCTTGAAAGCAGCCAAACTATATAGTCTGTTTAAACTTGCATTTATTGACTACTTTAGAATGTTATCCTTTAAAAAAAGATAAAGCCTTTATTTGGAGGAAGTAATAACGTGCCAGTTACCTCAGAAGGAAAGGTTTAAGTACATTAAAATCACTTTTCTAAGATTTAGGGAGATTTTGCAAATAGAATAAAGCACATAGAGCCTATTAATTATTCTGTTGCTTTATTATGTGCAGTGTTGATGTGGGACTTTCACTGATCTCTAACATAAAACATGAATGAAAAAAAAATTATGGCCTCTTAGGAGCTAGGACATCTAGATCCTTGCCTAATCTAGCCTCCTTTGACAAATGTGTGTTTTATTATCTAATGTGTACTTCTTCATTTTTACTTCTTAAAATCCCTAGCCTCTGTTGAAATTCAGTTCATGTGCTAGCTCTTAAACCACTTTTCCTAATTCTCTCTCCTCCTTTGTCCCCCAGATAGATCCAGGCATTAGTGCTGTCTCCCTCCTGAAATTACTTTTGATTTACCCATGTGATTACATGCTGTTTATCTCCCCACAGAATTGAAGCTTGAGGATAGGGTTTGTTTCATTTTTCCATTTCCCAAGCACATAGCGTGGTGCCCTTTATATGTTAAGCTTTATGAATAAACTTGTTGAATTATATAGTGAATGTGTACTTGAAGTGGATCTATGATATTGTGTAGATGGCTTCTTCTACTAATACAGATTACTGCCCATTCTCTGACTCTTTTCAACGTTCTTCTATTGTATGTTACCCACAAGAGATCCATCCAATAGGCCGAGCTCTTCATTTAGATTTCATGATATTGTAAGGATAATGACTGGCCCATCTTTTCCACCAGCAATATATTTCTGACATGTTTACCCTACATGGCCTATGCAGGCCTCATTTATAATGTTTCTTCTTGTTTGTACCCAGTGACTCATGACAGTAGCACTTAGTCAGCTTTTTTGAGGAAGATTATAAAATTCTATATTACATGGCCTCATAACACCATTAGCAGAATACTGATTTTTAAAAAACATGGGCTTCTCTTCCATAGAGAAGCTTGGGGGTCATTAAAAGAACCATACAGTTTACTAAGGACAGTCTATTCTACTCTACTTCTTTTTGGTTATGGGCCCAGCTCACTGTCCATTTTCAGTGGTTCACCAAGATTCTACGTATACGGGGTGGGGTGTGTGTGTATATATATATACATACATATATATATATATATACACACACACACACACACATATACATACTATATATACACACATATACATGTGTGTATATGTTTATGTATGTGTGTATGTGTATATATATCTATATCTATCTGTGTGTGTGTATATATGTATGTGTGTGTATATATGTGTATATATATGTATATATATGTGTATATATATGTGTGTATATATATATATATATATATATATATATATATACATATATATATATATTGATGAGCCCTATGATGTAGAGATTCACTGTTTGCCAACATTTTGTATTAGGAGGGATTACGTATGTTCAGCACTGATAAACTTATGTAGAAATGTAATGATATATGTTATATTCTTGGCTTTAAGTTTTTTTTGTTTTTATGTACAGTTTTAAGACATTAATAGTTTCTGTTTTTCTCTGAAAAGCTGGTTTTCTCGCTGTGTCTTTCAAGATAGAGGTCAGGAACTAGTAGATGGGCTCAAGGTCTGCTTACAAGGTAAGGATCTGATTAGCATCTTACTTTGGTTCTAAAAGGAAGCCACATTTAAAAGCACCATCATTGTAAAATACTGAGCCAGAATTTGTCAGAAATGCAAACTACTGTTCAGGCTTTTGTTCTTTTAAAAACTTTGTTGATTTTTTTTCAGCTGCATTGAGGGCCTGGAATAGTTACAATGAATATATGCCTAGTCGAATTGTTGTATATCGGGATGGTGTAGGTGATGGCCAACTGAAAACCTTGGTTAATTATGAAGTACCACAGTTTTTGGACTGCCTAAAATCTGTTGGTAAAGGTTACAAGTAAGCACACAATATAAAATGACTTTGTATGTTATTCTCATGATCTTCTAAAACTGTTTGTTGTAACTATAGGTGAAAAGTATGTTAAGTATGGTTTAAAAAATGTATAATTGGACTTGAACTGATGGTAGGAAGTAAAGGATATTTATTTCCTTTCTCATTTTATCTTCTCAACAAAGCAGAGTAGGAATGATAAGAGTAAAATTAAAATCCTTTCAAGGAACAACTAAATTTTTGCTTTATATCTCATGCTCCACTGTTCAGGAAACTTTTTGGTTACAGTTGCTGCCTTGAAAGGATGCAGGCAACCAGGAAAGGTAGTATCTGTACCAGCATTCCTGTTCTTCTCTCTTTGGAATTCTACCTATTTTTTCCCCTTGAACTTATTATCTATACCACTGATTTAGTTACTAATTAGATACTTCTAACTAAATTTTTATGATTAATAACCTCAGTATTTCTTTTCTTTTTGTCCCTTTTTACTCACCATCCCTAAATAGTAAGCTCCCTGAATGCAGGGACTGAGCCTCATACTTTTTCTTTAAGTACCTAGCCTCTAAGCCTATGGGTAATAAAATTTTTATATGGTTCTTTGGATCTTGATTGAAAATTCCAGAAAAAGTTTGTACAAGGATTTTCTCCCTCCCTAAGCAAAATTGACAATTTCTATTTTATATTTAAAAGGGAAAGTAAGGAAATTGCTATATAGGCTAGATACTACTTTTGTTTTATTCAACTTTTAGAGTTGATCTAATGGCTGAAAAGTATACCACAGCCCTAAGACTACAGGGTACTAGACCATTTTTTCCTCTGTAAAATAAAATATGATACTTGCTTTCCACATTAGGACATTTTAAGTTTTTTATTCTGTTGAAAATTGGGGAAAAACATTTTAAGTCTATGACCAACTAAACTATTATTGCCTCCCTATATTGACTGCTATTCCTCTTATACACACATAGACACACAACATTGATAAATCAGGACTTTTGGTAAACAGCTTTTCTTTTTGCTATTGATTTTTTTCTCTGATCATACAAATCCTATTTTACCTGCCCATTAACTGCTTGGGAAACCTGGAAGTATAGTACATATACTACATACATAGAGCATATGCCAGTGTCAACAATATCACCTGCCTTATTTCACTAGCTCTTTTAATGTTGTTAGTTCACCTAAGTAATATGCTAATTTTCCTTTGGCTCCATGTCACACAGGAGAGAGTATCCCATCCCCAGGAAATAGATCACCATCAGTGTCAAAGTTAACATGCCCATTCAAAACAGAGGAAAATGGTACTGAGGATCAGAGAGTACCAAAGTCTGGAAGTACAAGTTTCCTGTCACAAAGCTAGAGGACCTTCCTCTGAGATCTTGGCACAAAAGCAAAATATTCTATAGGGAGAGAACTGATAGCATGTAGGATTGAAGGACCATGGAGCTGTTTGTCAATTGATGGCAAAAATAAAACAAAAAACACTGAGAAATGTTCCCAACAATTGTTCATTTCAGTCATGTTTTACTTTTTGTGAGATTTGGCAAAGATAGTGGAGATGTTTGCCATTTCCTTCTCCAGCTCATTTGACAGATAAGGAAACTGAGACAAAACAGAGCTAAGTGACTGGCTAGTCACACAGCTAGTAAGTGTCTGAGGCTAGATTTGAATTCAGGTCTTCCTGACTTCAGGCCCAGCACTCTATTCAGTGTGGACCTAGCTGCCCCTTATAAGCAATGATTTCCATTAAAAAAATAGCCAAGTATGGTTGAATTACTAGTTATTTTTTTAATGACTCAAAATAATTTTTCATGACTACCATTCAAAGAAAATAATTAGTACATTAAAAAAAAGGATGAAATTTTTTCCCCCTGTGATAACGTATCAAATTGCCCCCTTTACCTCCTAAGCTTTTTGCTTTAGTTTGAATGAAGCCAGTAGCTACTTGTAGGAAATTGAGATTATTTTGATGATTTTTTTAAAAGTTACTAAACAATAGACAGGGCATTAGATCTGGAGAAGGAAGACTTGGGTTCCAATTCTTCCAATCCCTATCATGCTCTAGGTTTCAGTATCTTATTTATACAGAGGAATTAAACTTAATTAAATTGAGGCCCTACCAGCTTTAAAGTCCTAATTATAATCCAATCCTTCTACTTGATTTCTAAGGTTTTTACAAGTATATCTAGGAAGGAAGTAGCAATGGTAGCAGAAAAGCTCACTATTTCTTTAATTGGCTTTCAAGAAAGTTCTTTATTTGATTCAGTTGTATAGGAGATGCCTTTCTCTTGGTCTATCCACATGCATTATTTATTGCTGTAGGACCTTGTTTAGGTTTCTCTCTATAACAGTGGTTCTCAAAATTGGCCTTTATAACCACTTTGTGTAGGACAAAGAAACCTGTGAGGTATATGCCCTGTTTACTTGCCACTGGGGGAAAAAAACTCAAGGAAATATTGGGTATTTACTGTGTGTATAATAAAGTTCTGAGTGCAATGAGGATATAATAGTGTGAGAAGCATTCCTGTTAAGGGTGCTTTCTGTCTAGCTGGACAGAGTTAACACTCAAATTTAAAAACAACCTGACAAGGTAAGTGCTAAATGAATGTTATATATTTATTTATACAGTAAATGCTGTTCAGAGGTCAGAGGACAGGAAAATTCTGTTCATTTGAGGTTATTAGGAGAAAAGCTTCACATAGATGCAAATTTTGTATACACTGGGACAAAGGACACACACTTTTACCAGAGCAGAGACTCTGCTGGAGGAGAGTAGCAGAAGATTGTGCTATACAAAGCTTAAAATAACATGAGGAGTGCAGAATTTATCCTGTATGATGGTAGTGAGCCACTGTATAGGATTTCTATCTGAGGCCTCACCTACTATGTGGAAGGTACTATGCTAAGTTCTTCTATTTGGGACTTGGATTCAAAATAGATGAGGAATAGGATAAGATGCTGGAGCTAGGAAGTCAGATTTAGGTCCTAAATTTTATAATACATAAAAAAAAATCATCTCTGCTTTTTGTGAAAATTCAGTGACAAAGACTATTATATACTTTGTTTCCAAAAGGAATAGTAAAACATATCTCCAAATTATAATAAAAAGCTTACAGATTACACTCCTCACACACCCCACATTCCTGGGTATTTGGACACAGTCTTACCAAAAGAATCATTAGGTATACTGGAATTAAGTTTATACTGTGTTTGAAGAACTTTTAAAAAGGAGATTTTAAACGTGTGATAGTCATGCAATGATAATAGTAGGGAAGGAAGAGGTTCTGAATGATACTGTCTATTCCACTGTTTTCTATGCTGCTATCCAATAATTCCTTCCTGGTACTGCCACCTTAATATTGTTTCTGGTAGAATTAATGCCTATAATACCATGCAGGAAATATGCCCTGCAGAGCTGTTTGATTTCATGGTCCTTTTAAAAAAATAATATAGAAATGCTTTCAAAACTTTCAAGGGGTGACTTTATGATACATGTGACTACATTTTATTAATCCTTAAGCCCAAGACTAACAGTAATTGTGGTGAAGAAACGAGTGAATGCCAGATTTTTTGCACAGTCTGGAGGAAGACTTCAAAATCCACTTCCTGGGACGGTTATTGATGTGGAAGTTACCAGACCAGAATGGTAAGTTCTACACTGGGAATCCAATAAAGCAGAAAGACTTCCTGGATGAAGTCTTCTTAACACTATTATTGTACTTCTTTTCTGTAATCTCACTATATGTAGACTTAACAAGTTTGCTCTTTGATTCCTGACATTTATTTTTATAGATTCTAAGTTCATCTTCATGATTAATTTGTCCGGTTAAACTCAACATAGACCCAATTGTACATTGCTTTGTATATTCCCCTCAACTCTACCCCCACCCCAGATAATTTTCTTTTTCCTCTAAGACCTTTTCCAATTACATTTTTTGTTATTTATTTTTTCCTTATTAGTATTTCATTTCCCCCTCAATTACTTGTAAAGATAGTTTTCAGCATTCATTATTGTAAAATTTTGAGTTCCAAATTTTTCTCCCTCCCCTTCTGCCTCCCCAAGACAGCAATCAATCTGATATAGATTATACATATACAATTGTGATAAACATATTTCCACATTAGAGAACTAATTTTCTAACCCAAATTCTTAACACCTCACTTATATTTCTTGGAGATTCAGAATAAAGCTGTTGGGGGTGGGGAAGAACCTCTAGGCAACAAAGCCAAATATATCCTTTTTTCCAGAGCTATCTTTTGTTCATCACCTAACCAGTTGTTTATGAAGTATGAAGCTAATTAGAAACAGCATGTTGATTACGGAGGAGAAAGCTGTATGTTCCCTGTATAAAAAAAGAGTAGAGCAATCTGTGGTCATTTAGTGTATGAATAAAGCACTCATTCAGTAAACGTATATTAGGTGCCTATTTTGTGCTTAAGTATTGGGATAAGCTAGGATCGGGGGTACAAAGACTACAAATTAAAGTCTTTGCCCTTACATTCTACAGGGAGGAAACTGTATGTCCACAGATGAGAGTAAGGTCTCTCCCACCATGGATATAATCCATCATCAAATAACTTCAGGTTCAATTCAACAACCATTTATTTTATATTCTAAGCTTAATCCAGTCAATGAGTACAGTAACCCATAGTATTTACACACGATAGGTTCTACTAACCAATCCTAAACGCTCAACAAACGTTAAATAGAAGACGCTGTTAGGCAAACAAGCTCTCCTGATCAAACCTGCTACTTGGTAGCCAGGAGCCTTGAAATCTGGCCAGATATGGACATCTACATCTACAATATAGCTGATGGGAAATTAGCTTGAATTACAGCTTGATAAAACAATTTATGCTCATGCTGACCCAGAGTCATTAAGGGTTAAATTAAATTTAACATATTGTATTTAACAAAAGGAAGTACATATGCAGTCTAGAAAGATGCGTTAGAATTAAGTGAATTTTCCAGATAACAACTATTACAATCCAAATCTAAAAATTACTTTTGTGATTTAGTTGGTAACATTTTCACTTCCAATTTGTCTCTCAGGCAGATGTTAATTTTCAGGAGGGTGGTTCAAAATGGCTCTGGGTGACAAGGTGAGACTTGAAAATACTGCAGAGCTAATTAATTTCTTCTTGTTAGTAGCCACATAGCCTTAATTTTTCACAAGTTGCATTTGTGCTTCATTGTTAAAACTGACAGAGACATTACAGAAAGTACCATTATCATTTTCTAATAGTTAACATCAATAAATGTCTGAAGTAGAGTAACTGAAGTGACATGATAATAGTGTTTTGTTCTAAAACTCCTCAACCAAGAGGGTAAAACAAAATATTTGTATTTATTGACTTTAAGCATCTCTTGTCAATTTTTCATTAAACTTTTTGTTCATTTAACACTTAGATACTTGAAGGTATCAAATCAGTTAAAATATTGTAAATAGCACCTTGCAAAACTTTTAGTGTTATATAATGCTAAGATTATTATTATTATTATTATTATGAATTGCTTTGCCTCATACTTTTTCAGTTTTTACAATTTAGCACTACATGTGTGGGTCTTATAATTTGCAGGTATGACTTTTTTATTGTGAGCCAGGCTGTAAGAAGTGGCAGTGTTTCTCCTACACATTATAATGTAATCTATGACAACAGTGGCCTGAAACCAGACCATATACAACGATTAACTTACAAGCTCTGCCATGTGTATTATAACTGGCCAGTAAGTATTTTCCATATTGACATTTTTTTTCAAATTGGTAACTACTATTGTAAAAATTTCAGTCTACATTAGCTTGTATTCATTTAATATTGATAGCATTTATTGGCTTATCAATAAATTTTATTTCTAATAACTTTGCTCTCCTCTCTTCTCTCCCAAAGGGTGTCATTAGAGTTCCAGCTCCTTGCCAGTATGCTCACAAACTGGCTTTCCTTGTTGGCCAAAGTATTCACAAAGAACCTAATCTGTCACTGTCAAATCGTCTTTATTACCTCTGAACTGTAGAAGAACACAGTAGTCTTGAAAGACTAGCTTCATAGATTTTTTTTTTTCCTTTTTGCAAATGGAGCTTTTGGAAGTCTTCCCAGATGAAACATTTTCCCCCCTTAACAGCTGTAAAATGGAAAGGGAGATAAGAAAAGTGAATTCTATTGCCAACTCTACTATTGACTCATTGTGTGACTATGCAAGTAACTCATTTTACAGATGGGGAAACTGAAAGAAGAACATTTATCTTGCTTTTTACCTCTCACAAGGATGTTATAGTGGTTTCATGATAAAATCTGGATACAGCACTTGAAGCACCAAACAAAAAGGCTGTTTGGGAAAACATTGGGCATTACTCATGTTGGATTACTTCTGGAAACAAGTGTAATTGTAAATTATATAGTTTTTTAAAATTGATATTAGGAATGCCGATATTGTGGGGCAGTTTTATTTTGGGTTTTTTTTAACCTCCTTTATCTTAAAGATATGATTTGCCATTTACAGATAAAAGCTATACAAGATGGGGAGAAGCTAGAAAGAGCAAACTGACATTTTAAAGTTGGAAGCTTCTAGTGATAGAAAACAGTTTGGTGCCTTTCCACCAGTGGAATAAATCACGGGCTATATTGGCATAATTCATGGTGTTTTTTCCCATCATTCTACTTGTTGTTGAAGATTTTGAAATGTGACATTCTATCATATTAGCTATATTATGTTCTGACAAGGTATTGTAAACAGAAGAGAACATTAAAAGTCTTTTTAGTTGAATTCAAAACTTTTTTTTAATTGGAAAGTATATTCATTACTTATTTTCTCTGAGTTCATGTTGAAATATTCTGCTCAGAAGTTGAAAGAATTCTCCATGCTCTAATTTTCTCTTACTACTTAAGGGATAAGGTATATTAGAAAAACAAAACTAAGAATGAGAAAATCTCAAAAGGATATTTAAGTCTAAGTGAGAAGGAAGGAAAAGGCAGCTCAATTTTAACTCTAAATGTCATCAGGGTGAAGTTAGATAGGTTTTTCTTAGGTTGGTGACTTGACTTACCCACACTAAAACTGATAGAGAATTTCTTAAAGGGAGCAGACAAAAGAACAGTTAGGTGGCTACTCAATATTTGAAGAATTAGTGCACGTTGAAATCAACAACTGTTCTCTCAACTTCCGTGCATGCAGTTTCAGCATTGTCATTCAACATGGACAGCAACATAAAGATAGCAACAGACACTGTAAATTTACAGTGATGTAGTTTGTTTTAAAATATGTTACTATTATATTTGCATCTTGTTGTGCTGGTTATACCTTCTGAACCTGTTGGAAAGTTTTATTTAAAAATTCCCAAAGCCACTCAATCAGCAACACTTTTTTTTTTTGGAGGGGGGCCTGCTTGCTCATGTCTAATTTCCTTCCCTCAAGTATTTTGGAGATTAGGGAAAAGCAGTATTTTGTGGAACTCTAGAAAGAAAATTGATGACCCAAAGCCCCAAGTATAAACGATGTTCAAGTTTATCACAACATTAGAAGAGTACATTTGTGAGAGAAACTAACTTGCAGATTGTTAAGGGATGGAATAAATTGTCAGCTTGTAAGCTCCAACAGGGCAGGAACTATGTCTTGATTATTTTTGTTTCTCCCCCAGCACCTGCACAGTGCTTTGAACATAGTAGGCGCTTAATAAATGGTTGTTGAATTAATTTTGTCTGTTTAATTTTATCCATTTACACAAATGAGCTAAACTTTCACTTGTGCAAGCACCAAAAACTCTATTCCTCTTAAAGCCCACCCAGGATTCTCTAAGTGGGCAAAACTTGGTTTGTGGAAAGTTATTTTTAAAAGTTGCTTTAAAGGGGCAGGTAGGTGGCGCAGTAGATAGGGCTCTGGCCTTGAGTCAGGAGGACCCGAGTTCAAATGTGACCTCAGACACTTGACACTAGCTGTGTGACCCTGGGCAGGTCACTTAACCCTGACTGCCTCACCAAAAAGCAAAAAAAACCCCAAACCCAACTTTTTTTTTTTTAAAGTTCATCTTTGTGTATGCAATTTTGAGTTTTTCGAACTTACTGGAAAATAGTTGCCTGGACAAACTACACGCAGCAAATGAAATTGTCACCAGCCAAAACTCTGGTTTTACCTGTTTACCTGTTACTTTCTTGTTCAGGCATAGGCCAGCTGTTCAATCTGCCACTCATGGAACTTCACGGTTTCCTTTGTGTATAAGGTTTATACAAGTTTCTCCTTGTTCATATGCAGCCACTCATTTATTTCATCTTAAAATATTGTAATAAAAACAATAGCTGAGATTTATATAGTGCTTTCAAAGAGTTTTATATATGTTCTCTTTACCCTATGAGGGAGGTACTCTTCCCCACTTAACAGATGCAGAAACTGAGGCTAAAAGTCAGTTAGTCTAAGGTCATGTATCTATCTGAGGCAAAATTCAAACTCAAGTCTTCCTGACTCTCAAATTCACAATATCCATTCTGCCAGTAGCTACTAGTATTCTGTATGTGTTGTTCTTAAGTGCATCAGTTCATACAATATAGTACACAGAGAATATGCTGAATTTGGAATTGAAAGACCAGAGTTCCCATTACTATCAGCTGAGTGACCTTGGGAAAGTCACTTAGCCTCTCTTCCTCAATTTCCCATCTGTAAATAAGGAGATTAAAATTGGCTCTTAATAATATCCCTTACAGCTCTAAATCTATATTCTTCTGTCAACTGAGCCATTTTTGTGAGATTTTTTTTTTTTAAAGTATAGATTGCTCTAGGGAAGATGCTATCAGATATTTTAGTTTTTATCTTTAGTTAAGGGATATGAACAATGCTTTGATGTGCAGTTAGGTGGCAGTGGCTAGAGGACTGGACCCTGAATCAGAAAGACCTGGGTTCAAAATTTGGCTTCACAGATACTTGCTGTGTAACCAGGCAAGTCACTTACCCTCTAGCTATTTCAGTTTACTTACTGGCAAAACAGCCATAATAGCATCTACCTCATTGTGAGGATAAAATATGTAAAGCACTTTGCAAGCCTTAAATCATTATATTAATGCTAGCTATTAATATTTAGTCACATAAATTACCCCCCAAAGTGAAGCTTATGACTATTTTATGTCCTTGAATTTACCCCAAGTGAAGACTATATTCAAAGGTATATAACAGTATGAATGAAGACTGTAACTAATTGCTTTGATATCTGAGGCACTAGTGATTGTTTGGGGGGGGGTATTCCTTGCACAAATACTACACACTGCAACACCCTTTATTTGCTTTCATAAACTGCCTTGGAGTTACTATGAAAAATTAATCATTGTGGAGCCATCTTGGGGATGACCCTCTCCCAACACAGGATTAAAGTAGCAGCATTGACTTGCTATGATAAGGAATATCTGGGTTCAATTTAGTTCAAACATTCTACTTCTGACAAGCTGTGTGACATAGCGCAGTCAGTTTGAAGGTTATTTTCTCACCAAAAATGGGGAAATTGTAGTACCTCCACCTCATTGGGCAGTTTTGAGGACTTCACAATGCATATAAAGCACTTTTCAAATTATTAGTCTGGTTCTTGGATGCCAGTTAAGTCTGTTACTAGGGTCTTTTACTCAATTTCCTCACCTACCCTTAACCCTCCCCCCAGACCCTTTATTTCCCATTAATCTTGGTGGGAACATGTCTAAGTTCTGTGGTAGATCAAAGATTGTCCCTATGTTGGGATGTGGCATCAGAGGACTTAAGTCAGGATTTTCCTTTTATGAAACATAGTGGGCATTTAATGAGTTAAATTTGTTTCCATGGGTTATTTACAGAGCAGCTAAGTGTAAGAAAAGACCAACATAAGAAAAATCTGAAGCTACCTCAATGAATAGAACAAAGTCAACAATTTGCCTTGCACATACTGTGGGTATTTATTAAGTGTTAAATACAACTTGTGTTTCTTTGCCCCTACTAATTTCTTAAGGTAAACGCCATTTAGTGAACAAATTATTCATAAAGCATAACCCCAAAATAACATGGTTACAGGTCTTTCCTTTCTACTCACTATATGGAAACCCAAAGCTTGTATACGCAGTTTTGTTACACGGTGTCTAAGAAAAGGTTCTCCAAACAAAGAATAAGCTGAATCTTATAAAATATATTTTTTATTTAGATAAACTATTACACATGCACACAAAACTATACTATTATAACTAAACACTTTGGCCAGTAATTGAATTTTTTTACATTTAGCAAAATAATACTTTCATAACAACTTACAGTAGAGTTCTCTGAAGACTCACTGGGAAAAGCTTTGATTATTTGTTTACTATTTTCATACAGTACAAAAAAGTTACAAGTGGATGAGAATTACAGAATAGTAACTGCCAAATAATCTGCTTTTGTTTGGGGCAGTTAAAAGCAGGGTCAAAGAACACTTTGTGTTGGAAGGTGTCTAAATGTCATATCTTAAGGAAGATATCTCTCTCTGTCTAGTGCAAATGCTTGGTTAGCCCCATACTGCCAACAATTACAGAACTCAGGATGGCCATGGCCTTCTGGAAGTAATAGCATGGGGTTATTTTCAGGAGTCCTAGGATGTAATAACTCTAACGCTCTGTGTTAGGACATGTAAAGAAACAGAACGTTGCCGACTCTTTTTCCCAGTCTGGAAAATAAAAGGAATAGAATAGGGAAATAAAGATTACTTTTGCTTGGATGCCAATGCTAAAAATGAGTAGAAGCATGTTAAGTTCATAAATTTAGGCTTTGTATTCTGTGCATAATGAAGTTTTATTATGCATGTGTTACCAATCATTGGTTAATTATTAAATTACAATGTAATCACATCGACATCAATAATGTTTTAAAATATGCAAGACTAGAGTTAAAGTGACAAATATCTTGTGGCAAGTATTCTGAAAATGAACTGCAAGTCAGTCCTCTACTTAGAGCAGAAATGCACAAAAGACCACAGTTACAGGTAGGGAGCAAGTTCCATAAGTATCTGTCACATCTGTCCTTAAAATTTCCCAAAATCAGATTTTGAGAAATT